CAAAGGAAAATGAATCACAGCTGCAGTCTCACAAAATGCCTTGATCCCACACAGCTGCCTCTCTCTCCCTCCTGGGGACTGAGAAGGAAACCAGGGTTATGTTAGTTGTCAGTCAGGTTAAGGAGACAGACGCTTCCTTTGGCCTTCTTGACTCCCTCTCTTCCTCCTCTCCATCTTTTAACCCCTTGATTCGGGAGACTTTGGGTCACATTGAGCATTACTCTTGCTTCATCTAAAGCATACTCCACTCCTACCCAATGTCAGTTTAGGCAATCCAGTGGGCATACTCTGTGCACAGCCTCCTTCCCATATCATGTTTTGGAAACACCCTTTTGCTGCATTCGAAACCCTGAATGAGGAACACCTCACACCCCTGCTGCTGCAGAGCCAGACATAAGTGATAAAGGCAACTGAGCATCTAGCATTCTGTCTGTCCCTCTACAAAACTGTCCTAATTTATTTTTCTGGGTTGATTTCACGGGAGAAGTGTAACGGTTCATTTATCTCTTGTATAAGGTCTGCTTCTGGAAAACCAGTTTCCTCAGCCAAGCGAGAAGCTGTAGTACAATATGTCCCAAGTGGTAACCTCTGACAAAATTTTTCACTAGTTCAAGAAAAATGAGTATGAATAAGAAGCAACTATAGAATTTAAAAGGTTGTACTTTTTCTGAGTTTTTAAAAAATTAAAACATTATTTGCATTATAACGTACATTATTAGAAACCAGTAGTTATTTGTAATGCTTCCATATGGCAAAATTACATGTGTTTCATCTTCTGGCACCATTTCTAGAGGGCTAAGTGTGTGGGGGTGTGAATCATTTATGATTATAAAATAGTCAAATCCTTCATTGTTCTCAAATCAAACAAACTCATTTTGTTCAAAGGAATATTAGTTTGGAGAACATTCAATTGCTTAGTAAATGCACATTTTTTTTATCCTTGTCCGTTTACACTTGGAGATGATGTGGTCCTCTTTAGAGAGGTGGAGAGAGATGGTACTATTTTGTCTCTAGCTTGACAACCCATATACTTATGAGAGACTCTTAATAAGTCTCTAATAAGGATATGGCTTATTTTCAATTAGTATAATATGATATAATTTGAATTGAGAATAATAAGTCATTGACAGTCTCTAATAAGTATATGGCCTATACTTATTATTCTCAAAAATAAATAAAAATGAAAGGAAATACCAGAAACAGCCTCATGTTCTTAGCCAACTTTGCCTGAAATGGTAAGTGCAGTGTAACAGTTACTATAATAAGTATTTGTACATATATTTTTCTATTCCTACCCAGTGAAATAAGATATATTTCCATTTGTCAAATGAGGAAACAAAGTTTTGAAAGTTTCAAGGTTACAGGTAGTAAACAGCAAAGCAGAATTTGAGATTAGAGTTGTTTAACTGCACAGCCCAAGTTCTTTCCACTACTAAATAGTTTTCAGAGACACTTCAACTCTTGAAATTTGTTTATAAGAAATATATCAAGAATTATAATTTTAATTTGGAGACTAGTCAAAAGACAATACTTGTTCTTATTTGAGTTGTCAGGACTGATTTGCATTTCAGTAATGAGGTGTTAGTCCATACCAAATTATACTACCTGATGGCACCTGATCCAAAGATGAATGGCTGAGTCAAAGAGTACCTAAGTAAGGGAAGCTGTCTTCCTACAGGATGCCAAACATATAAAATAGAAAATCCAATCAAAATCAGAACATTAAAAAAATTTTTGATTTTTAAAAGACTAAGTTACCTTGTGGATTTATTATTATAAAGTAACTGAAAGACTTCTGAATTTGCTAACTCTACATTTATTTATAATATTACTTTTTGAAATAAATGCTGTAATTAAGAGGGAACTGATTTATGTCTTAATATGATAGATAAAAGAAGATAAGATATGGGTCTCATAAGATTGTGGTTCCAATTACAAGGTAAGTTGCAACAAGTTCAACGAAACAACTTGACCAATATCTATGGGGAATTCATGTTTACTGTCTCAATCCCTTATCCTCTAAAAAAAAAAAAAAAAGGAAGAAAGAAAAAGAAAAAAACACATTTTAATACTACTCTGATAAATTAGAATTAGGGACTAAAACAGTCCACGCATTTTCCAGAGGCCTCAAATTACCCTACAGAGTAATTACATAATTTTAATTTCACAGTTTTTGACTTCTCAGCTTTGAAAGAATTGTTTAAAATTTTGATATTTCATTTTGCCAAGAATATTTCTTAGTGGGAAAAAGTAGTCAAACATTTTAATTTAAAAAATGTATTTGTATTAAACATTATTTAGATAATAAGATGACAAAGGACTTTTGTCCTTCAACACTGTAGCTTCTCTCTGCTCATTAAATGTCTGGCGAGGATAATCCACCAAGGATAATCCTGAAGACAACATTAGTCTTTGATACAGATAAGCATTAACATTTGCATCCCCAACTGCTCTGCATTTATTTTCTTTTTTATAATAATTCAACCTTCATGCTTATATCACTAGAGGACATAAAACAAATAAAAAATCAACTATATTGCATTTATGGTGAATTAGGTGGTCCATTTCTCCCTGCTTGCTTTCTTTTTTCTTAATCTGTTACTGCATGTAATCATATCATTTTAAAACTGCTTGAAGCTGCTGCTATGACACAGGTACTAAATTTCTAAGACTGTGATTTTTCTACCGATGAAGATGTCAAGGCTCTCAACAGCTTGCCAGCATCATAAAGTAAGAAAGAGTTAGATAATAGTTAAAAATATGAAATGAGTTCATTTGGTTTTATTTAAAGTCAAGCGAATTTCATTTCCCTTTAAGAAATGTATTTTCTTAGAGATATCTGATTTTAAAATTTATAGTATATTTAAATATTCACCTGTAGATTTTAAGATATTGAAAATACATCGTATGAGACCACTGCTCATTGGAACTTAGTTCTCTTAGTTAAATATGGTTTTAAAGACAAATTATTTTTATAATTTTAGCTACTTCCTTAGTATATGAGTCAGTAAACCTAGCCATAATAAAGGGATGATGTACACTTTGAGCTCCTAGAAAAAAGATAACATGTAGAAAACTTTCTCATCTAAAAACAAAACAAAATAAACAAAACAATATCAACAGCAACAACAAAATGATCACAAAGGTCCCAAGTCAGTGAATTTGCTGCTTCCTAAGACTACATTTTGTTGTTGTTGTTTCGCTTTGAACAATAGACTTATGCCCAGTGCTTTCATCAGGGTCAAGCTTTATGAACTATTTTTCATGGAAGCAAAGACAAACTATATTTATGAAAAAATAAAACTTCACTAAAGTGACTGGCCAACTCTGCTTTCCTTAAAAACATCAACCCTTCATTTTTGATAATATATGTAGTGAAAATAATAATACACTCTTTTAACTTGTTCTCAGAGGCAAAGTGAAATTTAACTCGCATCACATTTTTGGGGAACTTCGCCATTTTAGTAACTTCAGAAAAGATTATCCTGTGTATATCCATCAACTGGTGATTTCTTTGTCCAGATTTTTTTCAACCCTGTTATTTTCCTGCCCAAGACAATAATGCAGGTCATCTCTAGATACTTACAAAGTTTCTGAAGAGTAATCCAATCTCCCCTGTGGTGAATACACAATTCAAAAAGTAATAGTCACCACCACTAGAATATAAGATCCACAGGAACTAGGGCCATATTTGTCTTCCTCATCCTTTCCTCCCCATGCCTAGAGCAGAGTTCATCCATGATGGGTTCCCAATATAGCTTCTGAATGAGTGAACCAATCAATCCACTGGAATTATTCTGTGGCCTATTCAAAACCTTTACATAACATCTGTATTTGGGTTTTAAATGGCTATACAATATATGTGTTGAAGAAGCTATTTCGAGTGTTTTTCAGTTGTTACTGCTGAATCCACTTTATGTTTTTCCAGGTTCCTAGAGGTAGTTTATTCCAATTGTAGAAGCTAGAGGCATTTTTCTTCTGCAGACTACTGCTAGAAAGCATGTTCTGAGTAAATATAAGACTTCTGAAAGAAGTGCCTGATCATAGTATGGGATTTCCTCCAGAAGGAAGTACACATGGTGGAATCATGATATAAAGATTTTTTTTTTTTCTTTTCATCTCCAATAAGAAAATACACCCCTTCCAAAGGAGGAATGTGAATCAGCTGCCATGTAAACTGAGTTCATTCCCCTTTGGCCCATCCACTGAGCTTCAATCTTTCTGGAGATTTATCTTCTAAGTGTAATGCTCTTGGAATTTCCAGACCAAATTTTTCTGAAAAGATGATAAATCAAACTGTCTTTAGGGTGTTAGGCTAAAGATATATGTAACATGATTATATTGAATATTTACACCATACCTTAGTGATAAATATTTCCTCTGAAACTTTCTAAAGAATATAAGCAGCTGGATTACAAAATGTCAAAAGTAAAGATAAAACTAAGGCTCAGAGATGAAAGGAGTATTTTGATAATTGAAAGATAAGATTTTGTCATAAAATTTGACAAGTTTTGCTTTTGATAACTGCATATTTTACAATTTAGTAATGCTGAAACTTTGTTGTCTGGGCTAAGTGAAGAGTAGAGAGACTGACCTGATTTTCTTAATATCTAATATTTTATAAAACCACGTTATAGAATTAAGATTAAACCATCACTCTGAAATTTTAGAACATAAGACACTGTTTTCTTCAAAATTTTATTTTGTAGAAGAAGGGATATTAAGCTCAGAAATATTTTTTAAAGTGATTTTTCCAAGATTGCAAAGTAATAGAGGAAAAAAGGAAGAGGAACGGGTGGGGGCGGGGAGAGGGGGAGAGAGAGAGAGAGAACCACAATGCTACTTTTCTTTCTATCCTGTTCTGCTTCCTTTATTCCTCATTAGGTGGCACTGTGTCTCACATTTGGAGAGATTAAAACCGAAAATGCTAAACTCTCAGAGTTGCCATTCCCAAGAACAAAACAAATAAGGTAGGTAAAGAGAAATTGCATCCCACTCACCCAAGTCAGAACACTGGACCACTCGAAGATGGCATTGACAGCGGAAGGGGCACACTGGGCCTAGAGGGGGCTCATAGTCGCGGTCATCAGGAAGTTCTGGGCCTATCCCAGAAGCCTCATCTTCTAGCATAAAGTCAAATAAGCCTCTCTGTTGAAACGGTCCGGCCCAGGAAACTTGTGCAAGCAGAAGGAGGATGATAGTGACCTTCATGACTTATCTCATGTATTTTCACAACCAGGGAACCTAGGAAACAAATGAGAGTTTGAAGAAGAGTAGCACTGCCTAATCTGTGTGTTGTTTCTTATATAGTATGCCACAATAGAGTGAGCACAGAGAAAAGGTGCAATATAATATTTCATTTATTATCAGGAAGCAGTGCATTAAAAATGTATTGAAACATGATCGGGTACATTATAGTATCATTTGCACAGCTATTTACTTAGGATGAGAAATCCAAATATTATTTAAATCTGCTTGTTTTGAATTTTCAGTATAAATTAAGATGTATACTATATATTCAAATTGTTGGCAAAATTGTCACGATAATAAATCATGTTGGACTTTTCAATGCTCACTTAACACAAGCCTTGCCATGGTCAAATAAAATTCTCTCTATACATATAGGAGATCTCCAATTTCTGCTTCAGAAATATCTCTGGAAGCCAGTCACATCTCTCCATCCTACCACATTTATTTTGGTCCAGGCCTTTCTCATCTCTCCCTAAACTACTACAAGAGCTTCCAATTCATCTCTGCCTTGCATATTTCCTCTATTTCAGTCCATCTCCCACTTTGTTGCCCGAATCATCCTCTAAAAATTCAATTTCATCTTATTAATTTCTACTACAAACCATTTACTAACTTCCTTTGACCTATCAATACTGCCCACAGTCCCTGTGCTATATGTCAGACCACTCACAAATTGGTATGAATTAATAGCTCTAGCCACATTCCTTTCATTGTCACACCATTCCCAGTCCTCACCTGAACCCTGACAATCAAAACTACTTGCCATGTAGAATACCGACCTTGCAAGAGTGTTGTAAAGATTAAATGAGATAGTGGGCTTGTCTTCTGTGTCCCCTGGCTCATCCAGGCAGGATGCTGCTTTCTCCCTCTTCTCTGCTCCCAAAGCACGTTGCTCTTACCTCTTTTAAAGAACTTATCACATTATATTGCAATTTGTTTTGCGTGCTTGGTCTGTCCCTCCACTAGACGATGTACTCCTTCAGGGCGTGTCTTATTATTCCTTGTTCTGTACCCGGGCCTTGCACAATATTTTGCACACAAATGACTCAATTGACCATCACTTTATTGACAAGACGATTTACTCCATTTGTTCCAAGCAATCAGTCTGATTTTTTAAAACACAAAATTAGCTTTTTTTCTATATCGAATTTCTGATATAAAAAAGTTAGCAGATTGAAAACCTCAACTTGGTATAAGCAAGATTGGCTTTAAAAAATAAATCAATTTCCTAGTTTCTCAAACATTATTTTTAATAAGCTAATAAACACATATGGAAAATTCTAACTGATTTTTATATGCTGTATATATGATCTCATTTTGCTAACAGGGCATTTTGTAAAAAACTAAGTATTCTTTTGATAAATGTATTCCATATTTATCCATTCATTCCACAAGCACGAATCTATGTTGTTAAATCAACTGAAGTGCACTAAATAAATCTGAGTGACAAAATCGTAATAAATCTGAATAACAAAAGGTACTTGATTATATAGAAACAAAGTCATTTGGGAGACAAAATATTTTTTAAATCGCATTGAAACTATTCTGATATCTCCAAAACATGGCAGATATTTAGCAGATATTTAGTCCCATCATAGTAGATAATTAGTCCCATCATCTCTACCTTGAATTATACACTTAGATGAATCCATATTAAAGCTGTACGTTCGTAAGTAGAATTTTAGAACTGTTTTGAGTCATTATCCAATTGTAGCATATTTTTAAAAAAGGAAAAGAAAGAAAGAAAGATTAAATCAACTGAAGTGTACTCAAATAAATCTGAGTGACAAAATCGTAATAAATCTGAATAACAAAAGGTACTTGATTATATAGAAACAAAGTCATTTGGGAGACAAAATATTTTTTAAATCGCATTGAAACTATTCTGATATCTCCAAAACATGGCAGATATTTAGGCAGATATTTAGTCCCATCATAGTAGATAATAGTCCCATCATCTCTACCTTGAATTATGCTTTTTGACTTAGATGAATCCATATTAAAGCTGTACGTTCGTATAGAATTTTAGAACTGTTTGAGTCATTATCCAATTGTAGTATATTTTTAAAAGGAAAAGAAAGAGAAAGAGAAAGAAAGAAAGAGAAAGAGAAAGAAAAGAAAAGAAAAGAAAAGAAAAGAAAAGAAAAGAAAAGAAAAGAAAAGAAAAGAAAGAAAAGAAAGAAAGAAAGAAAAGAAGGAGACAGAGAAAAGAAAATAAAAAAGAAAGATCTTTGTATGTTCTAACCTTAAGGTATATTCTGGAAATTTTTGCCTAGATTCTCTAGAGAAGAAACAAATGTTTTTCAGTTTCTTACATTTTTGTTCTTAGTTTATATTTACTACTGATATGTGTCTAAGGCAGCACATGTTGAATACAGGCTTGTGGCTTTTGGTTTAACAAAATATCATAAAGATTATTCTTCACACTGCCACTTTAAGTTCAACATTAAGCTTTTTCTAGGAGCTCACTCCCACTCGGTTACTGAGTTTCCCTTTAAGAGAAGACTCTTGTTTTGGCAGCCTGTTCCCTTGAATTGTATCTGAGGGATTGGTTTTGTATCTGTTTCCCATTAAAAATGCAATGTTTATGGTTTACCACAGGCTTGCTAGCCTTGCATATTTAATGTCTTACAAGCTTAAAAGAAAAATGAAGCCAAGTAATTGCAGATTTAATAAATAGCAACAACAGTTAATGCAGATGTCGCTTTGTAATCTTTTCTCCAGAGCAGAACATGCCTGGTTTTTTCACTAACAACCCACAAAAAGAAAGTGTTGAGTATTAGCTGAGAGAAATAGTATTATAATTTATGTTTGTTTACTTCTGCTAAAATGGCACAAATTCTCCAAACAATATTCTTTTTGATTGAAGCTGAATATAGACAGGCAGCTTATAACTTCAATCACCGATTTTTATTTCACTTGCATTTGCTCATGTGTGTGTGTGCGCATGTGTGTGTGAGAGAGTGTGTGTGTGTGCATTTAACCCTGACTGTACTGTGAAAAAATAATAGCATGTCCAGAAACTTTGTGCAAAATCCTCCATAAAATCATCTGTTTTAAATTAGTGTCATGGTACTTGAAGACCCAACATCTTAAAACATTTCATGTGGGTTGTCAATACTGATAAATCCTTTAGTCATTTCCTTCTTTCCTTAATTAATCAGAAATATAAAGAGCAAAGAGCAGCTGTCCAAGTAGAAACCAAGGAGATTGTTATTGAGATGATATGCTGTTTAAATTTTATTGAAACTGTTTTAAATAGTCTGAAAATGCATGACACTCTCCAAGATGCTAATTACTAATGTAATATCACTACTCCACTAAAGCTAGTTGCCATAGTTTACAAATGTTTTACCAAAAATAATAATTTCTGGTTCCTAAAACTACTTAAGCCCATTAAATGAACTGTATCATTCAGATCAACATTTGCATTATGTCATCTATGCCTTTAGTGTCACTTTCAAAGACAAAATTTAACCCTCAAGAGGTAAGTGAAGCTGTAAATGCAAAAGCAAAATTAAAATCCTACAGCGCTAGATGATTAAAAATTTCAATAATATATATATATAATTTTAAAATAAAGATTAAAAGCAACATTTATCCACAAGCAAGGGTTACTATAGGGGGCATTTGGCTCTTTTTCTGGTTAGAAACAGCAACAGGAAAAAAAAGCCACAGGTATTTACATCACTGGGAGCCCACTTAACCAGTGGTCACTGTGTTACCCTGTTTTAAAATTAGAAAATTAACCCACATCCTCATTTTATAGTGAATGTATCCTAAAATTTCATTTGCAGTGAAGATACTGACTGGGACACTTTACATTTAAGAAATTATACAGCTTCTTTAATATCTTAGGCATTTAAGAACATAAATATTTTCAATGTTTATTTTCACTTCTCTGGTGATAATTTCTATTGATTTCTGGGGTTGAAGAAATATACGTTAGGTATCTTCAGCTAATCACCAGAGTTTAGTTCTTCTGGGCTTTTGAAAGTTCTTAAAGCAGACAAAAATTCAGGAGAAAAATACATTTTTAAATATACAGCTCAATTACAAATGTCCTACTTTAGAACACTTTTCGGTTACCACCTCTTAAAGAGCTAAACATTCATTAATACAAACACAAAAACATTAATACAGAGAGTCATGGTGTTAAGTTACAGTTTTTTAAGAAGCATCTTTGCAAATACAGAAGAGAAAGAAATAAAACAATACATTCAATCATTTTATCAAATATTTAACTTCTGTTTTCAAATAATACTTGTTTAAAATGTTGCATAAAGACTATAAAAGTTTAAGTTTTTTTTTTTTTTTTCTTTTCTTTTTCTCACCAAATAATCCCTTCTGCTCGCAACTTGACCGAAGTTTTATTAGTCTGTAGCAGAGTTCAGGACAATTATTGAAAACCATACCTTTTAATCCGGGAATTTGCCACAGGAGCCCTCAAAGCTGAGATGTAATTACACTAAATATTCAGCTCAAGTAAAAGAGTTTGCAGGTGTGGAAAGGAGGAGGGGGTAGGTGCTGCTCTGTGACTGTCACTAGGTTGAAAACCTCCTGCTTCTACTCCATAGCACAGTTAAAAAATAAGGTTTCCCTCAATGAACACAATCCGGCTGACACCCACATTAGATCATATGGTAATGATATGTCTCTTGTATTGTAGCCAGAAACTTTATCGGCCTTTTTTTCCCTCCCATTTGCTTTATTCTTTTTGCATCTGCTTAAAATTCTAAACTGCTTATGTAGTATAGTGGAACAACTTGATTTGAAATTTGTCTTATTGTAGATTCATTTCCCTAAGATATTGTAACTAAAGGGTTTGCTTCCCCACCCCCATCCCATTTCATTCTCCACCCTTTCTAGCCTTGTTTACAAGTAGTATTTAATATACTTCCAAAATGGCATTTTTTTTCTTGCTTTCAGGATGTGTAAGTCCAGAAAAATGGAATGAAATTAATCTTGTAGTTGTTTTAAATGCGGACTGCAAAAATAAATGAGTAGCCTTATGTGAAACTACTTATTCGGATTCTTACTTGCCTTGGAGTGTTTGTGTAAATTCAAGCACTATGCTGTGGAGTTTCTCTGTGTATTTTGGACATATTTCTAAAGTGTCCTGAAAGAAAGCCATGGTTTTATATGAAAAGTATGTCATCTATCACTTTCATTAATCATAGTTTAAAATCTTTCTCATTGTCCACCAGTTTTTAAATGAAATACATAGAAAACTAGTAGTTGATCACAACATAGTTTCGTCATCTATACATGAAAAATTTGATTTTCATAGATTATACTTTTATGAAAACTAGAACTTTGAAAGGGCAATAGAGTCTATGTGTCTTTCCAAATTTCAGTAATGAAAAAAAAAACAAACTGCAACTACAAGGAAAGGTATTTATTTAGCCACTGGAAATATTTTTTGAGCTTTTATAATTCCCTTGCTGGATGCTGTTAGTTGTCTCTGTGTAGATCTCTGTGTTTTGACTTGTATCATTATGCTCTGGCCCCTAGGCTGTTACCAGGTGGAAACTGGAAATCAACAGCTGTGAAACACGAGAGGATCCCCCTCCCATCCTCCAGCCTTCTTCCTTCCCTCCTCCAGCCATCAAAGTATATTCTTCCACAGTAAATATTCTTTTTCCTCAATAAAACTTAGAGAAATTAAATTCTTGAGTGGGTGTCTAAGGAGCGGGGGGGGGTGTTACCACGTTATAGTTTGCCTTATGTCCGAAGCTTAGTCTCCCAGGTAAACAATTTACCCTACTCTCCATCTCTTTAATATTTAATAACCACGTATCTAGTTATTCTGATAGTTTAGACAAAGGCAATCACTACTGTCCCTGGACATTGGTGCGAAAGTTCACGATCCCCTTACCTGGAATTTATTAATTTCCTTTCTGAACTCTCCTTATATTGCATTTATCTCTTTTTGATGACATATAATCACTCCTGCCTCACATTGTAATTATTTATATACATGTCTTACTCCAAGGGAGGAATGACATTGTGTTCATGTTTGTAGAATCCCTGCGCCCAGAACAACCATAGTATATACTAAGTTACCAAGACACATTTACTAAATTAGTAAAGACAATCAAATGATTGGCTATTGACCATACCCGGACTGGTGTTTTGCCCCGATCCTGGTTTACTATTTATCAAAACTTAACTAAAGTGTATATCAAACCTACTAAAGTGTATATGACAAATTATGGCAATCATTATTACAAGACAGAGAAAGAGAGAAAAGAAGTATTAAAGAAAAGGTAGAAGAAGAATAAGGAGGAGGAGAAAAAAAAGACATAATGCCTTTTTATGTAGATAATTTTACTTTTATAAAAGCATTATGGTTAAGATTTAGATCTTGTTCCTTCCCCCACCATAGTAAGCTGTATGAACTCAGGCAACTTACTTAACCTCTCTGAATTTCAGTTTCCATATCTGAAAAATGGATAGAAGTTCTTACCTAACTCATAGTGCTGGAGTAGAGGTTAAATAAGGCCATATATATAAAACACTTTACTCAGAACTTAATCCCTATAAGTGAAAATCTCCATAAATGCTAGCTTTTATTATGTTCTGATATATTTCAAAACAATCCTTTGAGTTAGAAAAGATAAGTCATATTTACTATTTGTTTTACAAATGAGAAAATGGAAGCCCAATGACTTGCCCAAGTTCACAGAGCTGGCAAGAAGCAAAGCAGAAACTAGTATCCAGGTCTTCTCACATGTAATCCAGTTTTCATTACTAAACTGTAATATATCTTAAGAAAGAGCAAGCAAAGTCTTATTGTATAGAAAATTAATTATCAAAGTTTTGAGATAACATCTTTTCAGACTATTTTACAAACCATGACCAAGTTACACTGCTTTTAAAACTTTAATTTTTTCAGGAACAAATAAAAATTTCCTTTTCGTTGTTGTTGTTTGGAAAGAAACTCACCTCCAAAATCTCAAGCATTTTACCAAACATCATCATATTTAAAAGCTGCATCTTTAATCACAAGTTACATCTATTGTCACACTAATTTTTCAGTAGAAGAAACTATGTCCCAACAAAGTCATATGCAGTTAAGTCACCAAGAGGTCGTGACACTATGACCAGAAACCAGGCCTCTTGCAATCCAACATGCACTGGAACCATTTTAAGGTTAGAAACAGCACTGTGCACAGATTGCTTAAACTCATTCTGGCTTGGAATGTTTGGGGTAGGATTCCCTGAATCCCTGACTGTCATGTAGATATGTGAAATATTCCAATTCAGAGCACATCCCACATCTACTGTTAGAAGTACTTAAACTTTGGTTTCTATTGTCAACCCACTAGCTAATAGGGTTAACTGTATTCTGCACATTGTCTAAGTTCATTTCAGGACCATTCTCTGTCATTGACATCACATACAAAGTATTTAATTGTACCTGATCATTAAGGATATGAAGAATGCCACAGTTTAGAAAGGTCTCCTTCTGATACCCCTTTCCTTTCTAAGAGGTCTGGAGGCAAGTGATTATCTTCACAATCTTGATGTGACTGATTTGTCTGTGGATTGATTCTTCAAAGTCAGATCTGGGTCTGGTGTGAATTGTCTGGCTTTATACTTGCCACTGTAGACAGAGTTCTTCCCTAGCTGAGAAAGATGGCTAGGGTGGAACTGAGGGCACTTTGAATACAGAATCGCTTTAAAGAAAATTTGGTGTAGAAAACTTTTAGCTTGGCTATCTTCCCATGCCTCTATTCCTCCATCCCTCACCATTGTGTTCTGTGTCCTGGTACCTTGTACAAGTAACTTAACCTCTTTGTCCTCCAGGTTTTTAACCTATAAAATGTGAATAGCCACAGTGATATCTCCTTCATAGGTTTATAGTGAGATTCAAAGAAGTTCAATACATAAAACATTTAGAACTGTGCCTGACACATCTCAAACAACACATGAGCATTTGTTGTTGCTTCTGCTGCTGCTTCTCTTGTGGTTTTTGTTATTACAAACCTTACCTTGGACACTCCAGTACAATAGCCAGACTGCACGTCTTTTATAGTCCAATGGGTTTTCTGCCTAACACCACAAGAAATCAGTTAAGCTCAAGCCTGTAATCCCAGCACTTTGGGAGGCCGAGACAGGCAGATCACGAGGTCAGGAGATCGAGACCATCCTGGCGAACACGGTGAAACCCCGTCTCTACTAAAAAAATACAAAAAACTAGCCGGGCGAGGTGGCGGGCGCCTGTAGTCCCAGCTACTCGGGAGGCTGAGGCAGGAGAATGGCATAAACCCGGGAGGCGGAGCTTGCAGTGAGCTAAGATCCGGCCACTGCACTCCAGCCTGGGAGACAGAGCCAGACTCCATCTCAAAAAAAAAAAAAGAAATCAGTTAAGCTATGATATAGCTTGGAGTTAGATAAGCTTTGGTTTAAGCCTTGACTTTGTATTGTTAAATAACAGCCTGGCTTTCTTTATGCATAACATTTTATTGGGCTCCAAGTCCAGCTGAAATCCATTCATGGACTTCATAAGGAAACAGACTTCAGGTTAAGAATTTCTACTCTGAACAGTAAACTAGAAATGGGAATAGAGACAGGGACCGGATAAGTAATGAATTAAAATAGATAAAAAAGTATCAAGGAGATATGCAGTTCCTTAATTTGCTGACTCTTCTTGAATGCTCTGGGGCATCTCTTTTGTCAGTTGTAATCAATTAAAAGATTAATTATTATTTTGCTAATATTGATTAGTTTGTACTTGGACAGTAAATCAACGTTTATTGAATATCCATTAGTCTGCACAAGGTACATACCTCTCTGTTAAATACAAGGAAATTTACAATAACTCATCAATCAATGAATCAACAAATACAGACTGAGGAACCACTGTGGGAGGAAGTGTTAATACCAGGCCCCATGGAAGATACCAAGAAATACTAAGTACGAAGTGAAGGGCATAGCCTCAAGGGAAATAGGTTGCATAAGGAGATACGGCATAAACTATAGATTTCTATAATAATATTTTAGTTTCAGCATACCAGAAAACTTATAATGTATAATTCCTGGCCAAAGTAAAGTATGATGTAATTAAAATAATTGTCTTAGAAAGTCAGAGGAGGGCTTCAGGGAGGGATCACTTTACATTTGAGTGGTTAGGTAAGTGTTTATAATGAACAAGGTACAATTTGAGCTAAATCCTGAGGGATGAAAAGAATGTACATGGAGAGAAAAGAAAGAAATGGCTTTTTATGCTGGCAAAATGGCACTAACAAACCTTGGCAATGGGAAAGCAGAGGTCAATAAATAAATCATTGTGGCTTAAGCAGATACTTTCTTTCAAAGAAGCCGTGAGCTCCTTTATTTCTTTGAATATTCAGTAACTCTCATGGTATCTGACATGTCAAAGTCACACAATAAATGAATGTCCCATGTTTATGGAAATAACTAAAGGGAGATAATGAAATAAATGAAGGTAAGGTCTAACTGTGGAAGGACTTGAAATTCTCCCATGGAGCACTTATCCATTTATTCATTCATTTGTTCATCAAATATTAATTTGGTGATGAATATGTGCCAATTATTATGCTTGAATCTTAATGTTATCAAAGGTAATTGAATGAGGTAATAACATGATCCAATTATTATTTTAGAAAATCAAATCTAGCAAGTACAGGTAGGGTGGTGAAACTAGAGTCAAGGAAACTAGTTAGAAGGTTATAGTTTTAGTTTCAGTATATTAATACCTTAGTAAGGGAAAGGAAGATAGATGAGCATGGCGAAAATAGAGCTACTTCTCAGGAAGATGATGTAATACATTAAAAAGAAAAGTCTAGAACACTCATTCTGCACCAGGCATCATGGTACATAGTCAATTTTAAAAGCACAAATAATGTGTGATGAGGC